TGGCTGCCTCCTGCACACGCCCCACTGGGGATCGAGCCAGCAACCCAGGCATGTGCCCTGACCAGGAATTGAACCATGACCTCCTGGTTCCTAGGTCTATGCTCAACCACTGAGCCACACCGGCTGGGCCAGCCTGCTCTTTCTGATGTCCATTCTTAAGGGCCACAGAATTATGAGTTGTGGCCACTGTGACACTTCCCCAAGGTTTACAGAAAGAAGGACGATTTGGTTCCTGTCTGGAGCTTGACAGGGGCAGGGTACTGCTCTTCGGGGCCTCCCTCCCCGTCCTCACCTCTTCCTAGGGCGATTGTTTGAACATACGACCTTCACCCCAGGACATAGTCCCATTTGGACCAACTTAGAGCCAGACAGCCCAAGACTGACCTGCATGTCACTGAACTCAGTTACCACAGTTGGGCAGGACTTTTAAGGACAGAAACCTGAGTCAAAGTTATTGTCTTTTCTCCCCAGTTTTCTCCACGGCATTTTTTTAAAATTGGGATAAAATATAAATAACTTAAAATGTACTATTTTAACCATTTTTAAGCTTATATTTTAGTGGCATTAGGTACCTTCGCCTTGTGTTCTGTGGCCTTGATTTTAAGCTTTGCTGTAATCCCAAGTTTGTCTCAGATGACGGTTCCTTCCTTCCCAGTGAGATGCTCCTAACATTTTTGTTTCAGCCGGTTAGAACCAACCCTCTGGCCTCCCCGCACCAGGTCTCAGATCTTCCTGTCATGGTTCAGTCTTGGTTTTCCAAGGTTCGTCACTAGAGCGTCGCCTGGAGAGTGTCACCCATGGCTGGGGAGGATGTCTCAGAGCGCCTTGCCCCGAGGCCTTCCCAGAACTCACAGAGCTGCGCTCTCGGCTCTCGGGTGCTGACACCGAGGGCCGTCGGCCTCATCGTTGGGTCAGAAATCTGCTTGTTGCACCAGCTGGTTTGGCTCCGATCCTCCAACCACACAGCCTTCCCTCCTCAGAGCCTCCCTCGGATGCAGGGTTCACCTCTTACCTGCTGGTTTGCATCGAAACTACGGGCCCCTGGTCTCTCACCAAGACCCGATGATGCTGATGGCCCCACTCTCTCCATTCCAACAGGACCCAACCTTTGCTGTCCTTACCCCGATTGAGCCCCGACACCACCTCGTCCTGGAGGGACGGAGTGGGAGATGTCTTACTTGCATGGGGGGCTGCGCCCCACGTCCCTGCTGTCACAGCATTCCCTGAGCACTGCCCGGCCCCTTGCACACTCATCGATGCTCAGTGTTCGTCTCTGCTCTGTGCCCCTCTCCATGTCACCTTTCTGTCTTGTTGTTAAAGGCTTTCAATGATCTGTTGCTGTGTTTCCCTCTAGTCAGGAGTGGCAGGAAAGGACGCCGGCGAGTGTTCAGCCTGTCGGAGGCCGACAGTCACGGCGGCCACTGGGTTTAGTGCTTCGAACGGCAGCTGTCACGGCAACTCTGGCACAGTCCATGCAGGCAGGTCTCCTCCGTTAGCCTCCGCGGCCCACGACGCCCCTCTCCCGCCGCATTTGCAGTCAGGGCTCCCAGGACACCAAGTCGTGACCTGAGAGCACCCTCAGAGTGGGCATTTCCTCACCTTCCCTGGACTAGAGCTCCCTCCCTTTGTGGCCTCATCTCACCTGAGGATCAAATCCCCTGGCTCTTTCCCCTTCCATGCCAGACCCCGAAGCCTGGAAACACTGCCCTTCTGGGTAACACCGCGCAGGCCCGGCCAGGCTCAGCACAGGCCCGCGCCTTCGCAGGACAGCCCAGTGTAGGCCACGGGGTTGGGTGGTAGATTTTGCAATAAGCAAGCAAGAAGTCAGCTTTTTCTTTTCTTTTCTTTTCTTTTTATCCTGGTCTTGCTCAAAGCTAAGTGATAGATTCCGTCACATTCCAGCCAAAGGCCGAAAGTTACAGACACACCAATGGCTCTCACTTCATCGTCCCCCTCTTACAATTACGCTCTGGATAGCGGCGAGGGTGCCAGCACTGCCTTCTCCCTCGGTGCTGCCTCAGGGTTTCCCACATGCGCCCTCCCACTTGGCAGCTTCGCTTGCCAGTCAGGAGCCTCCTGCCTTCTTTTGTGTTTAAAAGCTGTTTCCTCTGAGCTTTGCCCTCTGACGTGCTGTGCTGCTCCTCTCTCCCCCACCTCACTCAGGCCTACCTATTCCAGACGAGCACATCAAACCCAGGTTTTTACTGGAAACTGTAACTCACTCAGCAAGGGTCAGCCAAGCCCCTGCCCCAAAGCCAAAGACAGCTTCTGAGGGTGCCGGCCAGGGACATGATGGTCAGCTTGGGGCAGAGCCACAGGGAGGCCGAGCATCACTCATGGAAGCCTGGACATCCGGGATTTCCCACTCCGGTCTCCCGTTGTCTGCCCTGCCCCTGGCCAGGAAGCCAGAGTGTCCTCCAAATCCCTCACTTCCTGGGCCAGGCCCCAACTTGTGGCCTTAGACCTCATAAACCCCAACTGCAGTAACCTTTGCAGCTCAGCACTTGACCAGAAAACGTGTCCTCGCTGGGCTGTTTTCCCCTGGTGAAACCTGCAAAGCCCCCTCCCCAGTGGATAAGTGTGAAGGTCACATTTAAGAAGCAGTTCTTAGTTTAACAATAATAATAAGGAAAGAATAAATAAAATAAGACAGTGCTGTGGGTGACGGGTAAGAGGAGGCATGTTTTACATGGAAAATATATTTAAACAGCCATGACAATGAAGGGTCGTTGTCCTCATCTTACTGATGAGGAACTGTAGCTCCAAAGAACTGAAATCTCTTGTTAGGGTCACAATATAGATTGAATGGTGGCCCCTGAAATACACACCCATGTTCTAATCCCTGGAACCTGTAAATATTACCATATAGGGCAAAAGTGTGGTTAAGTTAAGGATCCTGAGAGGAGGCGTTTATTCTGGGTTATTCAGGCGAGCCCTGAATAATTTAATAATGTAATGAAGACATGTTTCAGATCTTAAAAAACAAACAAACAACAAAAAAAAAACAGGCTATTTTTATGGGGAAAATCCCATCTCTTTTTAAGTGTTGGTTCTTTTCCTAAAGAAGTGACAGTGTTGTGCATAGGGTGTTCTTTGTCGGTTTGTTTGTTTTCCAACATATCTGATGGCAACTTTCCCGCATCCTTGATTTTTCTCATCACCAAAAACCCCGTCAGGGATCAGGGAGAGAGGTTTGCCAGCGTTTTTGAATATCTGCCTGCAAATGTGGACGGGCAAAGAGGGAACTCTTACATAGACTTTTTGAGAAAAATGTGAAGGAAGTGCTTTGCAGCTCTGTCTCCAGATGGCACAGAAGTGCCATTTGGAGAATTAGTCATTTCTCAACTGTCCTGTCAGCAGCTCGACTTGCATGTGTACCCACATGCACAAGGCTCACGGACATGCACCCACTCGTGTGAAGCGAAGTGCGGCCGCGGAGCAGGTGAGCCCCCTCTCAGCCACACATCCTGGTGAATGACAGGCAGGTTGTGCTGGGTCAGCCCATCACCACAGCCGTTCTTAACTGAATGAAGCCAACTCACAGAAATTCGGAGAAACCAGAATGCGTGTGGGGTGTTCACCATTCTGTCTCAGGTCACCCTGCTTGAGTCACTTTTTCCACTAATGCCCACGGTGCCACCCTCCAGGAGTGAGGTGAGGACAGGCCCAAAGTCCCACACAGTGGTTTTCTCTGACCTTATTTCACTTAAAAAAAAGGGGGGGGTGGCTATAAAGAAATTAACTGGGACCTTGTAGTGCTCATCTTGCCTGAGAGTCTCCTGGGAAGCAACCCTGCCATGCACTTTGGGGGCTCAATCTGTTGCTTGCACTTTCTCTCCACAATGGGGATCCTCATCCTCTCTCTTCTTTATCCATGCTGTGTGCCCTTTGGTTTTATTTTGCTCTTGGTTTTTTCATTCTGTTGCTCACTGTTGGCAAATTCTATTTTGTTTTGGCTTAACTTATAAGAAAAAAAAAACTAGAATCGCATTGGACAAAAAGAATGTCTACCACCATTCCCAAGACCCAGACTCATGGCCCACACAGTGTCGCCAGCACCTCCAGCCGATGGCTCCTCAACCCCATGGTCCATACAAATAGCGATTTGCTTTCCAAGTGAGATGCCCACAGCCTTCTTATCAATGCTTTCAGATTACAGGCATGTGACATCCTAGAAGATGTTTTCCACAATGCCCTCCAGTCACAACCGGCGTGTCTGTCCAGGCAGGTCCGTCATTGGAAAGCAAATGAGGCCATCTGTCTGTAACCTAATCAAGGGTTTTGAAAAGCACCCAAAAAAGAAATTGCTGCTCTGAGAATAACTGTATGGGGCGGAGCCTCCCCTTCCTTCTGACTTGGTTTCTCCCTGTGGGGACCAGAATGGCCGGGGCGATCACAGTCCCTTTGTGAGTGCTAACTCAGCACTTCAAGAAGGAACAGGAGACAGCAGTCCCAGCTTTGCAAGTTGAAAAGTTCTGTAGAATTCCCTCCTCTGTCTTTTTTATTATTATATATAATTCTCCATAAATGACTCATATATATATATTGCAGTGAGTTCCCTTTTTGGTAAATGTCACCAAATTAGACTCTGGAAATAGCACGAAGTGATAAGCACCCCCAAGCCCATTTCCTCCCTCCATGTGTGTTTATCATCAGGCAGGTGGGTCAGGCCTGGTGTATCCATACAGCCCCCTGGGCCCTTCCCTGGGCACCCAGGAACTGGGCTTTCATAATCCACCCCAGGATTTTTGCACAAGCCCCTCACTTTTCCTTTGCATCGCAAGTGAGGGTAGCTCTGGGCCCTGACAGATTCCCCCAAGCCTAGGTCAGACTGCTTTCACCAGCTTCTGTGCCTCCAGAAGGAGCACTGGAGCAAGCTGTTCCCTCCACACCACCATCTCCCACCCAGATCCCCCTGGGCCTTTGTTCAGGACGGGGCAGAGGGTGCCCGCAGAGCAGAAGTCTCAGAGCTAAGTGTCCCTGTGTTTCCCCCCACCCAGATGACGCCGTGACTATGGAACAGCCTCAGCCTAACCTTCCCGACCAGTTGGTGATCGTCAGCGAAATGGAAGCAGATGCCAGGCCCTGCAAGAGCCTGGCAAAGAGCGTGGACATGGAGACGGTCAGCCTGTCCCCCAGCCTCACCCCGACCCAGCAGCCCACCATTTCCCTGCTCTGCGAGGACACGGCCGATGCACTGAGCGTGGAGTCGCTGACCCTCGTCCCACCTGTGGATCCCCACAGCCTCCATACCCTCGCAGGCATCCCCCCGCCACCCCCACTAGCCGCCGAGAGCACGGTGACCCCAGGCAAGGAGATTGCACATCCAGAGCCAGCGGGCCCCACCGAGCACTAGTCCGAGCCACGCAGCCTCCCTCTGTGGGTGTGGCTCCGCTGGTAGGGACCCAGGCCACTGACTCCAAAGACACATTGAGAGCATCGCTGTGACCATCTTCACCACCCCCGTGTGCTCCTTCACTCCATTTGAATTCCTCTTTCACTTTCCACTTCTTCGAGAGCAGCTGGGACCCATGGAGACACCCTAGCAAACCCAGAGGACTGAGGTGGCGCCTCGGGAAGTGGTTGGGTTCCTGGAGTGCGCGCCCCCAAGCCTGGGTGGCAGGACCCACCACCACCACCACTCCATCAGCCGGCCCTGCCCAGCTCACAGCTCCTCCGTGCATCCCAGTGTGCACGGAAGAAGCGGACGAGGTCACCATAGGCAGAAATTTGCAGGAAAGCGAACTTCGATAAACATCTCCTTTGGGTATTTATTTCCACTTTTGGCAGCAGGTGGAAAGCATTTATTTTAAAAGCACCTATTTTGTTGAAAAGTCCAAAAAAATCCTCAATGCTAAGGTGTAATGTCATGTAAAAAGTGTAAGATTACTGTTAAGTTTTCATTTTCGTTTTCCCCTGAACTTCCCAGTGTTTTGGTTTAGAGTTCTCAGTCTGGCGTTCTCCGTTTTCTTAAGTGATTCTTATTTCTTTATTACTCACTAATTCTGCAGGCCTGTGGGATGATAACTACCTTCCTGGAAAGTTTAGAATATTTTTTAAACAAAATAAGGGAGATACGTGTATTCTCAGGTACACAGGGAGCAGAGAGGGTGGGGGTTTCCCTGCCAGCAGCCCAGGGGCCTAACATTACCTGAAGTCTTTTCATGAAACTGCAGTCAGCTCCTGGTTCAGCACCCGTTCCTGGTCTCTGGCCCAAAAGCAAGCAGGACAGTTACCCAGCATCCCCTCAGTTGTCCCATCTCTGTTTGCCTAAGAAAGAACCATTGGGGACCGTGAAGCCCCCAGTGGCTGTGATGAGAGCAAAGGCGTGGCAGCAGCATCTGCATTGCCTGCTCGACCCTGTGCACTCTTCCTCTCCTGCCACCGCCAAGACACAGCTTGTGTGTTAAATGAACCCCCTCCCTGTGGGCCCGGGGTGCATGGGCCAGTTCTCCCCGGATCCAGTAAAGCAGCCAAGGTTCCTTCCTGCTTGGCACAGCCAAGCGACCCTCCCCCCTCTGCCGTGCTGAGACCTTCCGCAGCTTGCCTGCCAGTGTCCACCCGGGTGGCCTCCAGATGCTCCGCCTGCTCACCACCCACCTCTCCGCCTCCCTCAATCCAGCCGCCACAGCAGGGCCTGGAGGAGACAGTTCCTGCGGGGGACGGGAGTGGTGCCAGTCAGAAGCCCTCCGGGCAGCTGTGCCCACCAATCTTCAACAAAGAAAAGACTCATTTAGGCTGAAGTTCAGGGCCCCAGCAAGAGGAACAAGCCACGGCCACCCGCAGAGCCAGGTGGGACGGGAGAGGAGGACAGTCCGTGGGGAGGAGGGCCGGTGGTACCCCTTCTCCAGCAGCCAGCACAGGTCCTGCGTGATCTGCTTGCACGTAAAACAACCCGTCCCAGGGCCATGCACTTCTGGTTTTCCAATGACTCAGGCAGCAGAACTGAAGCCAAGTGACTTCCCAGGTGGAGCCAGGCCCTCCCCGGGACCACCGCCTGCCGTCCGGAATCCAGTGGTACCTGGTGACTTCGTGGCCTCCGGCACTGACGGAGAAGGTCTCGGCAGGGGGACAGCATGCCCAGGGGCCTGTGGCAGCACTGCCCAGGCTTGGGGAGCCGGATGTAGCCTCCATGGACTGTTGAGTGAAAGGTGCAGATACCCCCAGCCAGCCCGTAGCTCACCTTTAGGTGTGTGGGTGAGGACTGCTTTCACCTGACACCTTGATGCTGAGGAGGACATATGTCCTTGTGCTGGCAGGTCTGGGGTCCGGAGGAGGCAGGCAGGGTCTTGGCTCTGATGAAGGTCTCATCTCACCAGGTCTTGGCCGTCTTAGCAGCAGTGGAGAACCCCACAAACTTCACAGCGGGGCACTCCCAGGCTGGCCAGTCCACACAGAGCCCTGGGTCTCAGGTGGGGCAGAGACAGTTAAGCAAGGAATTCTTGGAGAGCCCAGAGCAGGAGGGACCCTCTGACCCATGGGCCCTTAAACTCATCTCTGATGTCAGCCCCCACATTCCTGCAGGAGGGGCTGGGGTTGGTCTCACCCTCCCCAAGTCCACACTGAGCTCTTGGGTTGGCCACGCTAGGGGCAGGGTTGACCACATGAGCCCCCAAACCTCAGCTTTGAAAGTTGCCGTGGAGAAGCAGTGTCCTTTCTGGCGTGAGGGAGTGAGGGCGCCTCTCCCCAAAGGCCAGGTGGGGCGAGTTCAAGGAGCTCCCCAGGGAGGAAAAGAGGACCATCCCAAAGCCACAGTGAGAAGGTGGGGCAGATGCCCCATCCCAGGGAGGGGTGGGCAGGAGGGTCCTCCCGCCCCAGCAGGCCTTCCCCCCCTCTTCCCCCTCTGCCAGGCCTGCCCTGCTCTGTGCTCTGCAGGAGGCAGCTTCCCACCCAAGCACCGAAGAAACGCATCCTTCACAGACACGGGAGATCTCCAAGGTCTCGAGGTGCACTGTTTAGAAAGGCACTGGGTGAACTGATTCTCATCTTTTCTAGATGCAATAAGTGAGAACTATCTCGTGTAGTCATGTTGACACTGGGCATAAACTGTGAGGGTTCCTAATGTTCCTCCGAACTGCAAATATGTAAATAAGTTTGTCCCGAGGAGGAGCAGGGTTAGGAAACCTCACGCTTCTGGGCTGAGGGACCGTTCCAGGGAAGTACCTGCTCACCAGGGTGACTCATGCTTCGTGAGCACTGCACACCAGGGTGGAAATGAAAACTGGAACTTCCTTGTAAATTGTTACTTGGCAATAAACGTGAAAGAGCTACCAGAATGTGACGGCTGCTTCGTGTGCTGTGGCAGGGCGGCCACGCAGGCAAAGGGCAGGGTCTCTGCTGTCTGGCCCTCAGTCTGTCACAGCTGTCAGTGTTCCCGTTCCTAAAGGGAGGCAGGGCTGTTCCTGCCCAGAGCTGGGGAAACGCAGGTGCATCAGGTTCCATCCAGAAAGTACCTCTCCCCCCTCCCC